ATTCCTTTTTTGTAAGTGAGTAGGTCCTTCATCGACTTAAACGAAATAGGGTGAATAAAACACATATATCTGATTTACTGGCACTCTCGAAAGCCTACTCACTTACGAAAAAAGTAATTTCGTGGATTGTTATAGCAAGTATAAGTTTGCTTCATCGACAATCTTAACACAGAATGTTATATGGAAAATGCGTGACATTCCTTTAAATTCACATCTTTCCTGTGACCCAAGGGCACTCGTGGCAATGTGACGTAGTGGTTAACGTGTACAACTTACACGCTGCATTGTCATGGTTCTACTCCCGTCTGGAGTGTTGATAAGAACTCTGCGAGGTACAAACTGACATCCGACCTGAATAAAAACATCTTTTGGGAAAGCAAGGCTTTATTTAACTTCAGCTATACTTACATCATTGTTGGAAAAATTAACTACCAGTCCTTCATCACCTTAAAAGAAATAAGTAATATAAAGCCTTATGTTGTCACTGAATTTCGCATAGCCTTGCTTCCCCAAAAGTTGTTTTCATCCAGCGCGGACTGCAGTTTCAAGCTCGCCTAGGTCTTATCAACATCCCTAGCGGGAGTCTAACCGTGACAGTGCGGAATGTGACCTTAATACCACTCGACCACATTACCACGAGTGCCCTTGGATCACAGGGCAGATGTGAATTTCAAGAAAGGCCAGGCATTTTCTGATATCACATTCTTTGTTGGGATTGTTGCTATAACAATCGACTAAGTTAATTATTTTTCGTAAGAAAGTAGACTTTTGAGAGAACCAGTAAATCAGTAATATGAAATATATTCACTCTATTTCGTTTAAGGTGATGTGGCCGAGTGGTTAAGGTGTTAAGTTCAAATTCTGCACTGTCACGATTCGACTCCCGCTGGGCGTGCTGATAAGACCGATGCGAGCTCGAAACTGCAGTTAACCCTGGATGAGAAAAACTTTTGGGAAAACAAGACTATGCTAAATCCAATGAAAAAACGTCAGCTCTACTCATATCATTGTCAGAAAATTCTAACACTAGACCTTCGACACCTTAAACGAAATAGAGTGAATATATTACATATTAGTTTCTTAATGTCCGGACGAACAGACACCCGGTGCCAAACATGCGATTAGGCTTTGAGCTGCCATGAGCTTAAGCTATAGTCAGGCTGTGGTTGAACTGGCGCAGCAACTCCAATTATATCTAAAAACTGGGCTTCGAAGAGTCCCCTAATCGAATGATGTTGGAGTACCTTTCATTTCGTTCGAAGAGGCGAGTGAAAGAGATTCGTATTTTTGTCCCACCGGAGGCTGTGGTTGTAGATTTGTGCGAATAGTTCCTCGGCGCACCGCCCTGCGACTCCGATGAATCATTGCTAAGCTTTCGTTCGTCATGTGACGGACATTGTCAGAGCAGGACACCATGACTAAAGATAATTCACCAAAAACACGCACAAATCTACAGCCACAGCTCCAAGGCAACCACCCCACAGCATACGGTGGAACTAACTTACGAATCCTTTCAACTCACCCCTTCAAACAAAATGAAAGGTACTCCAACTCCAATTCTGTTTGACTGTCTCGATCCGAGGGAGTGGCTTAGGCGATAGCCAACATAGGAATGCTTGGTCATAAGGAAAAATGTACTAATTTCACAGTTTGTGTGTGAATGATGGGGCGCTACTAACTGGGTGGGGCTAGGCAACGTAAAAAGTATAGGAGAGACGGGGAGCAGAGCCAAAGAGAAAATTCCCTCAATAAAAGCAATGCTATTTTGTGAAAAATATGCCCCATCTACTTTATTTCGTAAAGTGTTTGAGCTCTGAGCCAGCCCTGTTTGATGAACCAAATATGAAGCATGGCCATGCTATTGAACGGGATACATACAGAAGGGCGTGATCACATTTTTAAGGAAGGACCTGAAGACGAACATATAAAGGACAAGAAATGGCGCCTAAATGTTTTCATCACAGATCCAATTAGTCTAGAATTTTCTCAACAGTTGAGGCAAGTTTCAGGATTAATGACTGCAAAATCTGTTCGTTTTCCAAACGCTAAATGAAGAAGTGCTAAATAGATTGACTAATTCCAGTTAATCTCGGACTGCTCCAAAAAAATGTCCTTTGTGCCACGCGATGAAGATTAACGGTAGCTATATTGTATATTCCGCCAAATATTATCTTCTATACAAAATGAGACGATCCTTTAGGCGTCAGATCAGTCATGGAATAAAAGTCCATTATTAAGCATAAGCTAGATTCGGAAACGAAATATACTATGCAGGGCACTTTAACATAGTCAGTATGTGGATCTTAAGCCGTATTTATGATGTTGGTGAGGGCCAAAAATTAAAAATAACACGTGAACCAAGATTTAAAGATTCAAGTTATGGGAATTTCTCTGCCACCTGGTTGCACTAAGAAACTGTATCAGAAGAAAAGGAATTTCTCACTATACATGACAAATTAACTCTTGAATTCAAGGGTAGAGCCTGAACCCTGGTTCCTGCAGAGTGTTAATAATTCATTTAGATAGCTAATCTTAGAACTTCAGCAAATCTGGCTCACTATATTTTAAAACACTTAAGCCAGATCTTAGTTGCGGACTATTCACTGTACACAACACCTCAAGGGTCTAAATGTAGGTAACATTTTGTAAATAAAACAGTTCACTATTAATGAGACAATAAAGATTGAGTTAAGCGGAAGCTCTTGCCTTCAATAACTTTCTTGATTTCAAGTTGAAGCTTGTGCTTATATTTTTCTAAGACCATTTAGCCGGCAGGCAAATATAATCCTTCTTATGGCTCCCAGCTAACCAGATTTAAGAACTGAGTCTTTTATCAAACTAATAATCAGATTTAAAGCTATAAGACAACCAGTTACCTTTCTATATTTATTTTACCTAGTAAAGAGTTGAGGATCTTCTGGTTATAACCATGTGGATTTGCATGGAACTATTGGAGAAGAGATATAAATTTTGAATATTCAAATTAACACTATTATGCTTTTAATTTGTCATATATGATTCCCACGTTATTGTGCCTCTTTGAACTATATTATTGGGGGGACTTTCATTTCGTATGAAAGTGCATGAAGAAGAGATTCGTTAGTCGATTTCACCAGATGAGGACGGATGAATCTCGTTGTACTGCAGCCGTTTGGCTTTTATACGATGTTATGTTGAAACAGCCTACGAGTGTGTGTGTGCGTGT